AACAAAAAATTGCCTATTACAATTTACCAAGTCAATCATTTGAATGCTCAACAATATCTCGTTATCCATTAGTTGATTCTATTCAAAATTTAACTGTCCAAGAAGCATTAAAGAAACAATTTAAAGAAGTTGCTATACAATCGGGAAATAAATTATTTAATTTGTATCTAGAATCAGCTGAAGATCAACGAGAAGAATATAGAAAGAAACATGAAGCTAACGTAATGAAAATGGATGCATCTCTACTTACATTGAATAATAATGAAAAGTTGTCTTCAACATTCGTACAACTTAATAATGAACGTTGTAACAAAATTAGTGAACGTATTAAATGTATCTATAAATTTAAATCTGAATCAATTCCTTCGACCTCGTAATTGTTTTTTTTTGGTGTGTTTCATTCAAAAATAATATTCATCTTATAGTAGTTGTGCTCTCATATTTAGAATTTCCAATTCAATATACCATTTTTTTCCTTTGCTTGTTTTTCCTTTTCAGATAGTTTAAATCGTTTTCATTCAACGTACAGATTAATCGGTTTAAAGTCAATCTTAATATCATATGGATAGACAAGATAACATTGTAATTTCAAATCAAGAACCACCAAAACGGAAAAAATGTCATGGTAATCGAAGAAATCAACGTTTTCGAAGAAAATGCCGTGCTGAAAAAATGAAACCAGCGAAAATAGAAAAATTAATCAAGAAAAGAAATCGTTCTTATGAGAAAAATAAAATACCCAAGACTAATATAGAATCAACAAAATTAAAAAGTGATTTAGCACCAGTAGGAAAAAATTATCAATCACAACCAATAGTTAAAACGGCAACATGTTTTAATAAACGTAAACGAGATATTTCATCACAACAACTGTCATCAACAATTATGAATCAAACAATACCAAAAACAACGAGTTCAATATCTATTGTAGAATCATCATCAAAAAAAATGAAGAATATATCAGAAACAACGATTAACAATACAATCATTCATGGAGATAATAATGATCTGAATAAACATATAAATTATCGGTGAGAACAATTTTTTGGTAAAAATAATTGTCCATTTTATTTATTCATTGCATATATTTAGACAACCAATGTATTTAGCACGATCATTATCTATACTCTGTCAAATATTAAATAAAACTTTAAATTATTCATTGAAGAAAAAAGATGAAAAAGAATTTATCTTTCAACGACTTCAACTATTAGATCAACACTATTGTTTAGAAATGGATCGACAACTATGGCAATCCTATTCAGATATTGGTATACAACAAAATTTATGGCCCGTAAATTTATTTTATTTTATTTTAATTCTAAATCATTCTGTATGTTCTATTTTGAATTTATATTAAGGATCAATTATATACTATGACAAAGACAAATGACTTCGATTTATGTAAACAATATGTAACGAATTTTATACAAAATAATAAAAAGCAATTGAATCACTGTCAATTTGAATTAACAAAACAAGAACAACAATTTCAAACATGTTCGATTAAAGAATTATCATTTGAACATATGGAACAACGACTTAAAGAATTAGTGAATCGTGAACGGAAATATTTATCAAAAAGAAATAATGATAAATTGATCAAATTTAAAAATGATATTTCTGGAAAACAATTATTGAAAACAATATCTACTGCTTCTCTTATGAAAAATCAACCGGTCAATTTTCATGAGTTTATTTTGAATATATTTTTATATAGAATAATTTTCTTTTTAGAACGAATTTTGCAATCAACTAATTACAATACGAGAAAAACAAGCAGAAATTTGGAAAGAACAATTAATGTTAGAAATACGAATTCATTGCAAATTTTTACCGCCAAATTTTGATCATCTGGAAAATTTTATTTCATCTATTGACTATTTACCATTGAATAATAATACAAAAATTATTGAAATAAAAAATAAACGTTTTAAAATTATACAAGAAACAAAACGTCAATGGCTAAATTATTTCTTAAATATTTATGAAATAAAAATACAAGAATATGAACAACAATATCAAAATGAATTCATTAGATTAGAATCACTCCTCTCAAATAATAATGATACAACTATGTTAAATAATATCAAGGAATATATCAATAATCGAATACAAAGATTAAAAAGAGACATTTATGATAAAATGGCATCTTTTCGACGAATCATTCTTCAGAATCGTCAACGTTCATCCTCAACAAAAAATGTTATTGGTGTTTCACCTGAACCCTATCTCGATCTTATGTCTAATCCATTTAATAAACGTCAATGGAATTATCTTTCACTTGGTAAGATAATAGTCTAAAATTATTAAAAAACAAATTCTTCGTTTATTTATTTATTTATTTGTTTAGGTCCATCTTATATAAGAGAGAATCAAAGTGCCATTCGCCCAAAATGTCAACAAGAAACTGAAATAAAAAATCAACATAAAGATATTTATTCGAAAGTTGAAAATCATCTCACCGACTATCCTCATCGTATACCACGAAACAATGCAATTTTTAAACAATATTCAGATCATCTTCTCGCTTATCTTAATCAAATTTACTTTAGTCCGTTATCGTACAAAGATCAATTAATGAGTCGTGAACAAGCACAAATTCTTGGATCAATTCGACGAATAATTATAAATATGAATCTTATTATTCGTGTCACTGATAAAGGAAATAATTTTTATATTGGTTCGGCAAATGAATTTGAAACAAAAGCTCAAACATTTTTCTTCGATACAAATGCTTTTGCAGAATTATCTTCCAATCCATTCAATGAAATATTTGATAAAGTCGTACAATTACTCGGTGCACTTCATCAAAAAGGTCTTATTCGTAAATGACAATATGAACAAATGATGCCTGATCGAACAAAATGTGAATTAGCTCATTTATATTTTAATCCTAAAACACACAAAGTAATTTATTTTTTAAAGTTTTTATTAATATTTAATTTTTTTATTTCTCCTTTTATAGGATGGTATACCAGTTCGACCAATTGAAAGTACTATTCGTGCTGCAACCACAAAAATTTCAAAATTTTTAGACAAAATTTTACGACCAATATTTGATGATAAATGTAAAGATACAACTATTATTGATGGTGCTTCTTTAATTACTGAACTTTCAAAATATAACAAAAAAGGTCTCTTAAAGCCAACAACTCTTTTTTGTACATTTGATATTCGCAATTTATATACAATGTTACCACAAGAAGAAACATTAGATATTCTTATGAAATTTCTTCATGCTCATGGTTATAGAAAAGTGAAGGGAATTAGCATTGATACAATAAAAAAATTAGCTTCCATTATTCTTAAAGACAATGTATTTGCTTATGGTAAAAAAATTTATAAACAAACAACTGGTGGTGCTATGGGTTCATCATTAACATTAACTTTGGCTAATATTTTCATGTCAGCATGGCAAAAAAAAATTGTTGAAGAACAAACCAAGACGGGCGAATTTTATGGACGGTAAGTGACTCAAAATTTGAAAATAAAACCATGACTATTATCTAATTTTTTTCTTTCTAGATATATTGATGATATTTTTATGACATGGAATAGATCTAAAGAAGAATTAAGAAAATTATTAGATGATGCGAATACATGGCATCCAAATATTAAATTAGACTATAAAATTGGTTATAGTCTTCCATTTCTCGATGTACAACTTAAAAATAATAATGGTATACTATTAACATCTGTCTATCATAAACCTGCAGCTGAACCATGTATTACACCATTTACATCTGATCATCCTCGACACGTTTTTGCAAATACTATTAAAAATTTTCTTGAACGTGCAACAAGATATTCATCAACATTTGAAGCAT